TCGTAGTCCTGATTACATGCACTCCTCTAACGACCAGGTCAGCAGGATAAAAGTCAAAGTAATAACATCTGACGTAGCAACACCACCTATACATTGGATGTGTGTGCACACAAACACACACTCTTGAAGAAGAAGAGAAGAAAAAGAGAAGAGATTGGATTTATACCCCGCCCTTCACTACCCAAAGGTGTCTCAGGGCGGCTCACAATCTCCTTTCCCTTCCCCTTCCCCTTCCCACAACAGACACCCTGTGAGGTAGGTGGGGCTGAGAGAGCACTGACAGAAACTGCTCTTTTTCAAGAACAGCTCTTATCAGAACTACGGCTTGGCCAAGGTCATCCAGCAGTTGCACGTGGAGGAGTGGGGAATCAAACCCGGTTCTCCCAGATTAGAGTCCGCGCACTTAACCACAACACCATCCCTGGAAGCCATGCTAGCACCCACCAAGCACACTGTCCGCTCCAATGTTCGCCATGCACAGTCGATACATGGCAGAAACCAAACAGCATCACCTAGCCCAGTTCACTTGTACAAGGGCATGAGCAGTTCCTAAGCCAGTAACAAACCCCAGCCTGCCGTGCTGCTGTGGGTGAAAGGCCGGCATAGCCCGAATGCTCCCTGATGGAGGGTTCAGGTCCTGCTAGGGGGGAACACATGCAGCTGCCTTATACTGCGTCAGGCCATCAATCCATCAAGGGTCAGTGTTGCCCTGCTCCTTTTTGACCGGAGAGGCCAGGGCTCAAGCCTGGGACCTCCTGCCTGCCGAGCAGACATTCTTCCACTGAGCCGCAGCCCTTCCCTCTACCCAGGCAGTGTCTGCAGCTTAGAGTCCGCGCACTTAACCACAACACCATCCCTGGAAGCCATGCTAGCACCCACCAAGCACACTGTCCGCTCCAATGTTCGCCATGCACAGTCGATACATGGCAGAAACCAAACAGCATCACCTAGCCCAGTTCACTTGTACAAGGGCATGAGCAGTTCCTAAGCCAGTAACAAACCCCAGCCTGCCGTGCTGCTGTGGGTGAAAGGCCGGCATAGCCCGAATGCTCCCTGATGGAGGGTTCAGGTCCTGCTAGGGGGGAACACATGCAGCTGCCTTATACTGCGTCAGGCCATCAATCCATCAAGGGTCAGTGTTGCCCTGCTCCTTTTTGACCGGAGAGGCCAGGGCTCAAGCCTGGGACCTCCTGCCTGCCGAGCAGACATTCTTCCACTGAGCCGCAGCCCTTCCCTCTACCCAGGCAGTGTCTGCAGCATCCTGCAGAGGCAGAGGAGGCCACGTGCAGAAGGGAACGCGAGAGTGGCGGGATGCAGATCTCATCCCACAGAGACGGGGACGAGGCAAAGTCCATTTCAGGCCACCACCACCCTCCCCCAGCAACAACGATTCGAGGTGGAGAATGAAGAGAGACAATACAGCTACAACTCCAGCTGCCTGCCCTGAAGAAATACTTGGGGATCACACCGCTTCGAGAACAAGCTTAAGAAAAGGCTCTTGACAGACGTATCCTTTCCCGCCCAGTCCTGGCAGGGCCCCAGGTGGATTCGTGCAGAGGCACCAGGCTTGGCATGATGAGGTTTATGCTGGGCGTGCTGCAGACCGCCGTGCTGTTTGACATCTATATGAGACTGCTGGTGGAGGTCCTCCAGGGACGTCTTCAGTCTTCTGACGCAGACCACCCCTGGTTCTCCTCCTCATCTGTGGCAGTGGATGATCTGAGGCAGGAGCTCTCGAATCAGTAGTGAACTTGAAGCAAAACTGAATCCAGACAAGATGGCAGTTCTGTTGAAACAGGAGAGGCCGACTGGGGAGCAGAGGCTCAGCCTGGTCTTGGGGAGGGCTGTACCACCCCTGAAGGATCGTATTTGCTTTTCAGCCCATTGTGTAGGTCCAAGAAGCATGGGCAGCCCTGAGCAGATTTTTTTTCTGACTGGTTGGTGCACCAGATACCTGTGGCCCTTCCTGTAAAGTTATTTATGTACAAAAATCGTGTATCCCACTTTTCTTCCCTGTCAGGGTCATGAAGACAGCTAAAATAAAAAATAACATCTATCAAACACTGGGAACAGCTATTAAAACATGAGGCAGGAAGGAGAGGTTATTGAGGGAATGCCAAACAAACAAAAAAGTGTTCATCCTCTGGCAGAAGATAGTCATAGGAGGGAGATTGCATCCCTAGGGAGGGAGGTTCTGTAATTTTGGGGCCACGACCGAGAAGCCCCTCTTTCAGGTGGCTACCGGCCTAACCTCAGAAGGCCGGGGGCGCCCAGAGCAAGGCGCCAGAATATGGCTACCAGATTGTTTTCTTGATCCTATGGAACCAGTCATATCTTGCCAGTGGCACGGAGCTTGTTTCCAAGTTGAGAAAAACGACTTGCCCCACTGCCTTCTCTTCTCGCACTTCCTAGTTATCACGAACACGTTGCCGAAGCCAGCAGGCCTTAACCCACGTGCTGGTGCGCCCAGATCTCCAGCTTGCTTGGTTTCTAGCAACAGAGTCAAAATTACACTTAGCCTTGATCCACCAGAACAAAACAAGAAATGCCGGAGGATAGAGGAACTCAGACTTTGACATAGATGAAAACTTTGTCCAGTCACCAGTAGCTGAGGGAGTAGTCAATGGCTTATGACATCCTTGCCTCTCCACCAAGTCTGAAGCCTTCCTCCGTTTTCCTCTTTGAGCCCCTTCTGTTGCCGGAAGAGGACCCTTTGGCCCTTTGGAGGAGAGCTGGAGAGAGAACCCCCATGCTTGTATGAACGCTGCTCCCACTTCCTGTTTTTACTTTATTTACAGAGGTCCCAGTCTTCATGCCAGGCAGCTTCCATCCCCATCCCCAACCAGGATTAAGCCTAGAGACGTGTAATTGCCTTGGCTGACGTTCATCCTTTGCCTTTCTCCTGTTGACATCAGGACTGCTCCTTCCTTTAGGCATAGCCTGGCACTCACCGGAGTGTTCTGAATCTTCACAATACATCCTTCCTGTTCTTAAAAACGTTCAGACTGAAGCTGATTTTCATCCAGGCAAAAGGTCAGATGGAAAATGAACTGGTGTTTAAGAAGAAGAAGAAGAGAAGAAGAGATTGGATTTATACCCCGCCCTTCACTACCCAAAGGAGTCTCAGAGCGGCTTACAAACTCCTTTCCCTTCCCCTCCCCACAACAGACACCCTGTGAGGTAGGTGGGGCTGAGAGAGCTCTTGACACAAACTGCCCTTTCAAGGACAGCTCTTGTCAGAACTATGGCTTGCCCAAGGTCATCCAGCAGCTGCAAGTGGAGGAGTGGGGAATCAAACCTCCCAGATTAGAGTCCACACATTTAACCACTACATCTGACTGGAAGGAAGGAGAGGTTGGGAAGAAGCCACGAGGTGGCGCGTGTGGTGAGAAGACACCTTGCCATGCAGGTATCTTGGGGATGGCTGCAGGAACCATGGCTTCAGGAGAAGGCAGAGCTCCTGGCGAGGACAAAAAAAGGACGCCTGATACACTTCTGATTATTTCATACAATCACAGAGCTGGAAGGGGCCATCTGGTCCAACCCCCTGCTCCATGCAGGGTTAGCCAAGAGCATCTGTGACAAGTGTTCGTCCAGCCGCTGCTTAAAGACTGCCAGCGAGGGGGAGCTCACCACTGTCAGGACCCACAGCCAAACAATAGAGCACACACTTCCAAGAAAGGTTTTACTTTATTGTTAGTACTGTGGTTGCAATAACACGGTCACTGTTAGGAATGACGAATATGGAACAAGCATATAGTGATATAGAAGATTCGACAGGTCTCTTCCCCCCCCCCCCCGTGAGCCAATTGGCCCGTTTCCCGCGGGTGGGAAGAATAATCGATGGTCGAGGCTGAGAAACTAAACTAGTCTCACAGTTAATTAAAGTGGAGACACTACACAGGCAGGGGTACAAGGTCAGAGATAACAAGGTCTTTCAGGGCTGTTGTGAGGATAAAGTGGAGGAGGGGAGAAGAGTGGAGTATAAATGCAATAAGCAATAGCGTCGAAGTAAATCGGCCACAACGAGACACTTGTGGTTCTTCATTTAGAAGAGGAGTTTTTATAGTGTCAAGGATGGTTTAGAGTTGGTTTTTACCCCCCACTTTTGCTCTACCCAAAGGAGTCTCAAAGCTGCCTTCCCTTCCTCTCCCCACCACAGGCACTTTGTGAGGTCGATGGGGCTGAGGGAGTCCTGAGGGAACCATGACTGGCCCAAGGTCACCCAGCAGGCTTCATTGTGGAGGAAGGGGGGAATCAAACCCCATTCTCCAGATTAGAGTCTGCCATTCTTAAGCACTGCACCATGCTGGCTGTCCCAGAAGGGAGTTTCCTAGAAGGCTTACTAAGGTGGCGTATCTCCTCAAGCTTTTGGTAACTGTGACTGGCATCCTCAGAAGTATAACACAGAAAGATGGAGTACTCTCTGTGTCAGTGTGAGAAGAAAAATGGTAGAGAGTACTCCATCTTTCTGTGTTATACCTCTCTGAGGATGCCAATCACAGCTGCTGGCAAAACATCAGGTCCTACAATGCCAAGACCACGGCCATACAGCCCGGAAAATCTACAACAACTAATGAACTCTGGCCGTGAAAGCCTTCGACAATATGTTGTTTTATTGTTCATGGTTTTATGTTGTGAGCCGCCCATTGTTAATTTAATTTAATATATTATAATTATGTAGTTAAAATAATTTAATAATTTAAATAAATAAATAAATAAATTGAAAGAATGGAAGGGGAAAGAATGAGGAGGAATGTGTGAATCCAAGTCTTTGGCATATGGAGCCAAACTGAATTCTTATTTGTGAATTGAGGGGCTCTGTACTGCAACAGCTGGCTCTTCAGATGCCAAGAAGGCCTTTCTACATGAGTTCAGGTTCCCAGGTGGGTTGAGAGAGAGAGAGAGAGAGAGAGAGAGAGAGAGAGAGAGAGGAGGGCCTTGTCCACAAAATGTGCCCGCGTGTAACCTCTTCCTTTCCTCTCTTTCGGTGTTTGCAGATGCTAACGCAGGAGACCGAGTTCAGACCAATAATGTAGCTTCGGCGTCGGCCTCCAACTCCACCTGAACTGGTCACAAGCAACAACTTGTACAGAACAGTCGCCAGTAATTTGAGTCTCGCTCAGCAACACTGGTCACATTTGGAAAGAAAATTAAAAAGAGGAGAAAAAAAACCCCAACCCTGTTCATTATAGTGTTCGATTTTTTTATTATTGTTGTTCTTATTTAACCTTGTAAAATATCTATAAATACAAACCAGTTTCATTGTATCCTCACTCTCTGCGGGCTCCTTGGGGCAGGGGGATCGGTCGGGTGGGAAGAGGGGGAAGCGGAGCGATCGACCACGCCGGTGTTCTCTTCCCATGACAATCTTTTCGTTTCAACAATTGCTGTTTATCTGCATTCAGAATCAGGAATCGTGTTTCATGCCTCCCCCCCCCCCAACAAGGAAAAAGAAGAAGGAAAATCCTAATTCTGCTGAAGCTCCTTTTTAAAGCCTTCTATTTTTAAGTGAAGTTTCAACTTTTGGTGTAGTGCACAACTTGAATTTGGTCAGGAGCTTAAGCAGGAACCACTTATCTCGAATACCGTATGCAGGAGTCCTTAACTCGCTTTGGATCTGGGTTGGAAGGGAAGGAAAGACGGGCAAGAGAGGTGCTAAAAATATGCTGGATTGCCAAAGGGAAAGGGGGGGGGGGGGTTTGCTTATGCTCGGAACCGTTAGGGACAGAACTCGATAGCAAATTCCGTTCTTGCATTGGGGAAATCCTGTAGATATGTATGTTACATATATACACACAGACTATCAGCTTGAACTTAAAAGGTTTGCTCGCCTAACCTATGATGTGTGACAATAGTTTGGACCTGGACATTCAAGGCTCTGTAAAGCACAAAAAGATGATGGCCAGTCGTTTGCCTCCTTCCACAGATAGAGGCAAGGTATAATCCTTCCTGGTGCAGAAAAGGGATTGGAAGCCACCATAAAAGGTACTTCTGCACCCCACTGTGTACCCCATTTCAGACTCTAAAGCTGGCTTTTCTACCCAAGAAACAACCCGGTTTCTACAATATTTTATTACGCGTACTGTTTTCAGTGCAATTGGAACTTTCAAATTGCAGCATTATTTTACAGGTAACTTTAAATACAAATTTTAGGACAGACTGTAACTTAAACCTTTTCCTTTCTAACCCTTTATTTATTGACCTTTCGGCAATCGCTGCTGTTGATGTTTTCACGGTGGATATTAATAAGTAGACAAATCGGTTTACTTGGCACCTGCTGACTTAGAGAAAGCTAATTGTGTGTGTATATATGCACATATACATATGCATATATATATATTATAAATATATACATAGATACAGTGCTGCTTTTTATTTTTAATTTTAATTTTTAATCTGTAACCGGTCTGACTGAAGCAGGAAGTGCGTTCTGGTTTCTTTGTCATGGGTTATTTTTGTAGCAGCAAAGTCAGAGTCTTGTTTTTGTAGTTAAAGCAATACTCCTTGGAAAGGACCTCATAGAGCAGTGGACAGGGAAGCCGTTGCTGCTGCAGTAACAGACTGGCTCTTGGGCCTTGCTTCTTCCTCGCATACTGGGGGGGACGTGCCCACCTAGGCCTTACGTTAATTCAAATGAACCGTTAGTCGTCTGGTGCTCCTGGGAGTCTTAGTTGATTAGTGTACCTTTTGAAACGTGATCAGCTATTACGACCAATGCACCTATGCCAATGCTGGCACCCGAGGACAACGGAGGACTTCTGGACTTGGGGCCTCCTCTTGCGCCGGGGCCTCATCTTTGCTGCCGACAGGAGGTGAGCCAGCCCCCCCCTAAGGTCCGATCTGGTTAGAAGGTGCCTGCCGGGGAGAGAGGGAGGTTGGCTGCCTCAAAGTCAGGGTCAGAAATGATTAGATACTTACCTTGTTCTTCGCAAACCGCTGCAAGGGCCACGCGTAGAGGAGGCAGGTTCTTCAGCTGTTCCAGAAGAACCTGGGGGAGATGAGAGGCCTGGCAGGGGGAAGGGGCGGTTATTGTGGGAAAACAAGTCCATGCATGTCTTCCATGTCAAGTCTGAGGCCTTCATGATAGGAGCTCAGGACACCTTTGAAGAAGCCCGGGCAGTGGCCAAGAGAAGGGTCCATTTCGAAGAACAGGCTTGGGGTTCAGAACAATAGCTGCTTGTTTTAGGACGAGAACGTGGTGTCTTAGAATGTGCATTTACTCTTTTTAGTTTAAAACTAGTAGGGGAGAAGAATTAAAAGCTTTAATTCTTTTTAAAAAATTTATTTTTATGTGTGTGTGTATATGTGTGCGTGCGTGTGTGTAGACTGGGATCCTGATGGTTTTATTTTCTTGAGGATCATGGCAGGACTGCAAAACAGTTTTATACAAATTTAGATCCAGGTGTTTCAATACCATTTTTTTTTTGTAAATAAGCTGACAAAGCTCCTCACCAAATTCAAGTTTGTACATTAGTTGTTTTAAAAAAGAAAACAAAAAATTGAGTTTTATTGCTTTGTATGTAAATATGTGGACCCAGGAACTGTTGTTATTGAGCAAAAAGTTACCATTCAGGGCAGTTAACTCTGTTTAATAATCAGACAAAATGTAGACGAGCTTTTTAAAGCCATATAGTTCTAACTCTGTACAGTAGATAACCGGCCTGTATTATTGTAACAATAACTCTTAGCGATGTATAGTATAATCTATATAGTTTGGAGTGCCTTTGCTTCCATGATGTTTTGAATTTTGTTTTCATTGGTCATCAATTTTTCGTAACGAATGCCTCTCACATGGAAATATCTTTGCTTCCCTTCTTTCAGCAGTTCCAGGGTCAGTAGCATCGTTCAGAGAAATGGCATCCATAACTAGTTTCGTTTTGAACCATGGCTTTGTCGTAGGCGTTTCAAAGTCTGCCCTTTTCTTCTCTCCCACCACCCTCCCCTATAACGGTGACCGGTTTCATTTCGCGTTTGCTCTCTTGGCATTGAGGCGGCAGGAATCCTTTTTGCTCGTCTTGTTCCCAGTATATCCGTGAAGAGTTCTCGTAGACAGCAGCTTCAAGGAGCCTCCATTTTGGACTCTTTATTCCTCCTATAGAGGCAAAATTTTGGATTTGGCATAGAAGAGGTTGTAATGGGAGGGGGGGTAGAGTAATCTAGACACATCCACCCCTCCCCGCTATTGTGCGGAGATTTAAAAAATCTTGGCCAGGGATTAATCTGTGGTATTGAGGGGCTGTAGAATTACCTCTCTTCCTCCCGCCTCCACCCCACCCCCCGCCCCCCCAATTGCTGTTTTCTTAAGGAAGTTGACCTTAATTTCTTGTGCCCAGCACAAAAGGCCTTGCTTTTAAATCTTTGCTCACGTGTGTGTTCTACCTTGTTAGTATTCCACGTAAGAGTGTCTTCAATGGCAAAATGCTGAACTTTTTATCATACCAAAGGTTGCTGGCTTTTGTTGGGGGTGGGGTGGGAGGGTTGCGTATGTGTGTGTGTGTGTGTGCGTGCGCACGTAACCATCTTGTGTTCATTCCAGTAAAGCAGAGGCTGCACTTTTTCTGGTGACACAGAGGTCAGTGGTAGCATTTTGTTTCCGACAGTCCACTCTGAATTTTAATTTTGCGGCTTGGTTTCGAATGAAGTCCCTTTGTGTGCATTTGGCATGTCCCCGAAATGGCATTAATTTTGCTCTGCGTCCATGACTGAAATGTCAGGCAAGACGCTGGTTCTTTTTAACTTCGAAGTACTTTCCTTTAGCTAAAAGAGGAGATAACTAACATTTTACTCAAGATAGATTGCTCTAAAACCAATCTAGCTGATGCTTGGACATAGTTCCTGTTATTAATAAACCAATTAATGGTGGATGTCTGTAATTAATGTTCCTTTGAAATGTCCCCAGACTAGTAAGAGATGTTCCCTGAAGAACTTTTCTCCATTAGAGATCTCATCCACTGGAGGTCAAAACCCATAAATGAAAAGCACAGTTCAGTATCTAGCCTAGGACCTACTTTTCGGTGTAAGCATCAGAGAGCCTTAGAATTCTCAGTGTTTTTTTACTGGGGCTTTAACCGAACTTCTCAAATTTCGTTCTTCGTTTTTGTGTTTAAGGCAGTAAAAGCAAAATGGAAAGGCATATTAAGGCAAGTAACCCAGAAAGTTAGCTTGAGATACGTATCTTCCTTCCTTGTGTTTGTTCGTTCTTTGTTTTGTTTTCTTTTTTTTTGGGGGGGGGGGACAATTTATATATATAAGTCACAATTTATATATATAAATAATATGCTTGCCTGTACAATTTGCATTTGTTACTATGTTGCTGATAGATCACTCGGGCCTGTACACACAATGAGTGTTATCACTTCCATCTTAAAAGCAGAAATCTAAAAAAATATATATATAATGGACTGTGGGTTGTATACAAACTATGGCATACACTTGTGCAAAGCTGTCTTGATTCAAAGAAGAAGCAAAACGTATAACATTATTACTACTTGAATGCCTCTGTGACTGATTTTTTTTCATTTTGAATATAAACTTTTTGTGGAAAGTATGCTTAATGTTTTATTATTTTTACCTCCTCCCTTTCTGCTCCTTTGTAAATACATTTTGTTCCGTGTGACTTGGTTCGGAAATAGTTAACTGGTACTGTAATTTGCATTAAATAAAAAGTAGGTTAGCCTGGACATGAAATTTAAAATGCAAAAGTGTGTGGTCTTTATTTCACAACTTGTGGCCATTTCTGCCCACTTCTCTTAAAACTCTTTTCTTCCACTGTTCCTGGTCACTTCTGTCCAAAAGCAGCCACCCGCTCCCAAAATTGGCCCATATAGAAAAACTGCAGGAAAATAGCATGTTTTTAAATAGCCTATATTAATCCATGATACCTTTGCAAGTGAAAATAGTTTCCGTCTTCTACCAAAATGGTTTGATTTGGTGGAGAGATGTGGGTTCCTGATTTGCTGTGAGCATTAATAGCAGTGCCCCAGTTTGTGGTTTACCTGCCAGATGTGCTGAGACATTTCCTAAAGCGCTTCCTTTAGTTCAGCCTTTATTTCAGCCCCTTCTTTTGGCGGTGCCGTGAAGAGTTCGTGATAACTACGTCTTTGGGGGAATGTCACTATCTCTGAGCTGGGGTTTTTTTCCAGTCCTGGATAATGTATGTATTAAACGTGATCTGTGTTCACACAAAACAAAATTTGGGGGGGGGCACTCCCCTAGATGACTGGCTGGAGCCATTCTGTTACTCTCCTAAAAGGCTAGATGCCAGGTCATGTGACAACTGCTTCAATAAAAAAGTATATTGCAAAAAAAGGCTTCTTTTTATTTATTTGCAGGCACGCACACTCCTCATCAACTGCTAGCCTTGTTCATGCACTCTTCTGTGTTGCTGTGTTATGAAGGCACAAGGTAACGGTACGGTTCCTTCCCACGGGGCCTCAGTGGTCGTCAAAGGGGGTGCTGCTCAAAACACGGAGAGTGCTGTATAGATAAGCGCAATGTATATTTCTCTAGGGCAAGGTCTCCCAACATGGTGCTGGTGGGCACCACAGCACCCACCCACCCCTTTCCTGGTAGCTGCCAAATGCTTTCAGAAAGTAGGTGGGGCTTTCGCCCAGTAGGGCTTCTGATTGGTCATTGGAGATCTGATCGGCTGCACAGAATTTTAAGAAGTTGCGACAGCTGCAGTTGCCATG